TATGTGACAGTGTAACAGTGTTGTAGGGAGAATGGAGGAAACATAAACATTTTTTGCACTGAAACTTGAATTGGTTGGTTTTAATCTTACCTTAAAAAACACCCCTTCTTTAGCTGTTGTAGACTGGAATGACCAGGCTCTAAAAAATCTAGCAGTGATCCCCTTGTCAGAAGGTTGGTATTATAGCTGTCCTCCAGCTGCCTGAAATATGGTATGCAATGAAAAAAAAAACCTTCCAAGTGTTTTATCTACAAGCTTTCATGATTTCTCATTAGCTTCCAGCTTCTTGACCTTTCTTTTGCTTTTGTGGTCTTGCAGCAAATCCAGTCGACATTTGGTATTAATCCTTGTTTGAAAGGTCAGTTCTTTTTGTTTTCCTTGGCATTACCAACTCATCAACTCATGAAAGAAAATAGCTGTTATTATTGAAAATGAGAGACCTTGATCTCCTTTAGAATGCCCAGATCCAATAATCCAACAACAAACTTCTGGTTGACGCCTGAAAATGGGCAATTTTGTGTAACATCAGCTCATCAGTGAATGAGATGGATTTTACTTTGAGGTTTTGGTAATCCACAGGCCTTTGTGTGATACAAACTCCTTAACACCCCCGTTGCAATAACTTGTTTTCTGTAACTTCACTCTGGGGTCATATATTTAACCTGGGGCATAGTGGATAAGTCAACATTTGATCCACGCCAATTGCTTCATTACATCAACAGAAAACAATCACAAAAACAGATTTCACCTGAGCAGGGGATGATTTTTTCCGGCCTGGTGACCAAACTCAAAACCCGCGTCAAGAATGGAGTGGATCGCCTCTGGGTGTCCCAGGGAAAAGAGCGAACCCGTCTCCCCTCCACAGTGTTTGCTTACAAGGAACAAACACCTCAGGCTGATCTTGGTTAAATCCCAACTACACACACCATCATCTCTGGTTGCTAACAGTACAATGATAGCAAGGTATATAGTCAACACTGGATAAAGGGTTTTGCTGTCAGACCTTGTAAAGCACCTGTTGTATACACGTACATGATGCTTCCATTCAGTAAAAGGTGCCCTGTTTGCTGTAGCTTTGTTCTTTTATTTGCCGAGTTTATCAGTCAAGTCATGGCTGCTAGGGAGCAAACTCTAATCGATACGCTGGTCCCTCATTTAATTACAATCAATAGTTCAAATAGCTTCCATCAAACATATCGCAGCACATGTACCACGTGATGTAAAGCAGTGGCATTCAACAGATTTGCATTTTCAGAATGTCATGAATATCTAAATGTCTCTACAAGTGAACTAGTACAAGGCTGGGGAAAAGGGTCATAATACTCGAGCGCAGCATACTGCAGCAGCTGTACTCTTAAGTCCTTTTATTAAAATAAACTAGTTGGTGAGATATTTTTAAAAATGAGAACAATCAAAATCCATTAACAATTATATGGCAAATGTCTACAAATGTATTTCTCTAATTTTTTTTAACTCTTGCTTTTTTTAGGATAAAAAACAAACAAAACAAAATTCCTTCTCACTTGTGTGTTCAAAATTATTACAGTCTGTGCAATAAATTTTCTCTAATAATGATATCACAGTCTATACAAATCTTTGTTGTATAGTGTATAATGTTTTTAATCATAAAAATTTCATTATTGCATGTAAAATGGTCCCCTTAAATGAGGGAATTCCTTTTTTATGTGGAAATGTATTAAGAATCACAATTGTTGGGTTAGGTGTGATATGTTAAATCAGAGATAATCTCAGTCTGTAGATCCCCCCCCCCCCCTTTATCCATTGTTTCCTTACCATCATAGGTCACAGGGCCACCCACTGATTAAAATATGGTGTGCTGTTATACTGCACTAACTTCTGTCTCAAATCATTTTTGTCAAGTCATTATTATTATATTATCTTGTTTTGCTTTACATCCAATATTTTGCCCTAAATGCACCAAGACTAACACTGCACGATAATTCCAAATCAGCATGCGTCAGTGCCACAGTGTGAAATGAAATCTGATCAGAAAAATAACATTTAATTTGATATTGTAGCAAGTGTTTATTGATTAGAATTCTGAGGCCAGGACAAAAAGGTGAACTTCAGTAATCACACAAATCAGGAAGGAAACAAGAAGCAAAGAATGTGCCAAGTTAACAAAATAATGTAACTTTACACCTAGACGTTCAAGATTGATGACGCAGATAATTCTAAAAAAAAATTAATCATATATAATCGAGAAAATGTATGTGAAAGTCTGCAGTATTTCCATTTCAAGAAAAATGCCGTTATTATGGAGTTGGTACTTATGGCTGAATCATACAGAAGTTACCCTGCTTTTAGCAATGAAGGTGATTTAATAGAAAAAAAACTGAAAAGCTGACTGTTAAACAAGCTTTACACCTTATGGTGATAAAAAAAAACTCACCTTCACAAATAAGTGTCTTCTTTGTTACTCGGTAAAATTAGACCTGCATTAAGTCTACTACTTTGTCACTAGTACTTAATACCCTTCAAAATATTGGACATTGCAGGAAACCAATGTGTAAATTATACCTTTCAGACTTGAAATTTGCACCTTCATATGTGGAACCTGAACTCGTAGTTTTTGAAAAAAACACAGGCTCTATGTAAATGTGAAATTTGTACCTTAGTCCTCATATCTTGAACATTCAATATATATTTTGGTACAGAACCTGAATGTAACCAGGCATAATAGACTAGCTTGAATGAGGTCAGGCTTCACTGGCAGCCTTTGTGTGAACACCCGGGTTTTGTATTTGCTGTGAAAGACCAGAGATAAAAATATCTCTAAAGTGATAAATGCCTGCAGAATTTGTTGAAATTTAATTTCTAATTCCATAAAGGTTATAGGATATCTGATATTGTCTAATTTAGGAGGCCCTTTGAAACTTTTTCTGTCATTGCCTAACATGTAGCCCAAGTTCCACAAGAAGTTGCATCATAAGTCTAAATAACTGAAGCTATATGAAATGAAATTTTGAAAATAACAATTAAAAAAATACATAATTTCAAACATCTTTGACTGGTGTCGCTCATGGGTCCATGTTCACAAAGCAAGAAATAACAAGTAAAAATCAGAAGCAAGCAAAGCATTTTTATTGTGAATATCATCCGTTGAATGGCATTGAATTACATTATTTAGAGATGAAATGACATAAATTATGATTGCCAGTCATGTTGCCTGGACCATCACCCCATGCGTGAAGTAGCTATAAGGTAACTGTTATACAAAAAATTATAGATAAATAAATAAATAAAATCACAAGACCTTATTAGTGACAAAACCTTAATTCTTCTTAATTACTCTTTATAAAGTGATTTATAATATATGGAAAATTCACAATGATTGCAAGTCTTATTTTACTTTTAATTGTAAAGAAATCAAAATTTTAAGAAAGCATTGCACAATCAGAAAAAGTGTCGAGGCCAAGTTTTTACACAATCTTACTAATAACTAAATTTAACTAGTCATTTAAGCTCAAAAAAGGGAAAATAGCCATCAAAATGAAAAAATCACAACATATCCATCATGGCTAAGCTCTGCATATAAGAAAAATAAATTCAATTTTGTTCAAAACAAAAGCACTTTTAAGAGGGGAAAGTAGAAAAGAGAAAAGATTCTCAGTAAATTCAGTGTTTTACATCCTGAAAAAGGAAAATCATTCCAATAATATTTGGAACACTCAAAAGCTGAAATGCATCAAAACAATTTTTGTCTTATGGTCAAGATGATGTTATGTCAAAAGTTTACAAAGAAAAAATATATAATATATACATTATTGCAAAAATTCAACGTAAAAATCCTAGTAAAAAAAGCACAGAATGTTCATAACATTCACACAAGTTCAAAGCAACATTGCACACATAAAAACATATATACATATAAAACCAATTCCTTGAGCAGAAATGTGTAATCTTAGTCACATTTTTTCTTTCAATTAAAGTCAAGTCTAATTAATTTTTAAAAAAATATTAATATTATCTGTTGAATTGCGTTTATATATTTTCCCATTAAATTGCTTTTAAATTAATTTAAAGTGATAACTGTCTAAATACAAAAAATCCAATAAAAGATTTTTGAAAATTTCAATATACATAGTTTGATTATTGAGACAATCTGTGCGTACCCTACTTTAAATAATAAAAAGTACTATGTAGGCATTAGACATTACGTGAGATCATTTGTTTTCTGAATCCAAAAGAAACTTGACTACAAGTCTAACGACAGAGGTAAACATTGCAATGCGACAGTATAAATTTGTCAAAATTTCACAGATAACACTGACAGCATGTGATTTGTTATACCACAATTGTGACATTTTATGAATAAAAAACAATCATGAAAACATCACAATCAATGTGTACTAAGAGCACCCAGCACCAGAAATTAAATGATAGAATCTACCTGCAGTTATGCTAAATTATTACAAACTGAGAAGTTTTGTGGACAAAAATGGTTGCAGATGAGACAATTTAACTTATCTTTTACTATGGCAACAACAAAGACATTACATAAACATGGAGGCAGTGTCTTTGCAGCAGTAAACATTAACCACGTTGCTAGATACTTGTTTATATATTTGTGCAGACTAGATTGTTTTATTGGAAGAAAAGCATGGTGTAATTTTTAGTCAAATAAAAAAAAAGGTCATTTCTTTGTTGCAAGTTACTTCACATTATCATTGGTCATCTTATGCAATTATATCTTTGTGGAGAAAAATGTGCAGTTCTGAATGATCTTTCTCGTAAGTCGAATGAAAAGATTTTTGGTTATCTCCTAAATCATTACAAACTCCTTTCTATCTTCTTCCAATTTGTAAGTGCATAATTTTCAAAGAACAAAGACTAACAGCCATTCTAATACACCCAGCTCCACAGGGCCTGAATTTGCATTTTTAACAATTATTTCTACACCTTTTCCCCTTCAAGAAAGGAAACAGTTCTCTGCTTCAGCTGTTACCATTCTCTGCTCCCCCCCCCCCCCTCCTCAAGTTACTGGGCATCTGCTCGCTCTGCTCTAAACCTCTGATATGCCCTCAGTGCATATCTCTTTTCCACTATGCTAGCACTAATGGCTGGATTGGTACCCATCTCGGTATTTTCCTTTCCTTTATGCTGGACTCCCACCACCTGCTTCTTAATGTCTTGCTGTGATCTTGGGTTGAAGTGTATTTCTCCAGGTTTTAATAGCTGTCTCCTTGGCTGTGGCTGTTGGGGAGCTGCACCTGCATTAACGTCTCTCTGTTTGAGACCCATGTTCCTCTCGCTTTCAGCGCTACTGTCCACGCTTGCTCTGTAGCCTCGCTTGATCACCATACCAGGGGGCACCACATTAGGGTTACTCAAGACAGCCCCTTCTCTTATCTTCCCACTGTAGCCCTGCTTCCTTAAGACCTGAAGTGGGCTTTTCATGGATTCAGTGACTGCTGCTCTCTCTGCAGAATTGTTTTTGGTGAATCTTCCAGATCGTCTCTGTGGAAGTCTGGAGAACGCTCCTACGTTTTGGTCTTCTGGACTCTTCGAAGATTTTCCCTTCTTTTGATTGGTCTTTCCTTCCCCACTTTTCGCCTGACTACTCTGCTTCGTCTTCTTCATGGCACCATAGAGCTTTCCCAGAATCCCAAATGATGACCTCCTTTTGTTAGGCTTTTCAACTGGCTCTTCCTCCATTTGCTCTGGGATGTGGCATTTACCAAATGGGCTGCTTGACTTAGGGCATTCCAAATTCAATGGGGCAAGGATGCTTGCACTTTCTGGGAAGCTAGGGCAAAATTCATCTCCGCCAAGGTGAAGTTCTATCCGACTGAGACGTTTTCCATCAATGGCTGACACATCGAGCTGAACGTCGCTGAAGCTATGGCGCCTACTGGAGGTTCTGACGTCATAGAGACAGTCTGCTTCACTCACCTTGGACCTGGCTGGCTTGGGTGGAGGCACCAGAGTGATGTCATTTTGGAAGGTCAATACTTCTTTGTCTGAAAGGAAAGGAATCACAATGATTACATATACTAAACATAATATATTAAATATTATTTAACTCTGGTCATTTGTTTTCAAATTTAGAAAAAAATTAAAAGAAAAGAAAAATGCTATTTTTGTACACTGAAAATATGTGCAAACACAAACAAAGATGCAAGCAGGTTTGCACTGATATTCAGAAATCCCCCCAAACACACGACTATCTAAGAGATCATTCCCAGACCCTATCGTACTAACTTTAGAGCGAACTATCACCAAGGGGGTTCTCGCTTAATTGCAATTAACTTAAGCAGATTAGATGTCTGTCACGCCTACTGAAGCTGATAAGGGGTAATTAACTATTGTTTAGCAGCTTTAGTAGGCGTTCCAGACATCTAAGCCACTTGAGCTGAGAGCAATTTAGAGAGAAACCCCATGGAGATGGACCGATCCTGTTATAACGATCTATGGATGGGAACCCAGTCTAAATTATTTAACATACTAGAGCACATAAAGCAACTCATACATACCAATGCCTCTGACTGATAGGTCCTCAAATCTCTTCCGCCTAGATTCATTCTCCGTCTTGGCAATCTCACTGATCATCAATGTGTTGTCAGCCATGATGGGCGAGGCAACTGGTGAGAGAACACAGTGCAGGGTCCTCAATTTCGGGTGAAAGTTTCCCTGGTGAATCTCCAGCAGTAGAAAGTCTAGGACTCCACCGTAGCCAGATCCATTATCTATTACTGTTGAGTTGGCATCTGGAATGTCGGCAGTCAGAAATAACACCAATGAAATTTCTATAGCTAGAAAAAGATTATGTTGTGCTCTTGTTTAGATTTTACAGCTAAAGATCCTGTAGCATAACTACCACTAGATAAACGGACCATTAATAAACCATTTCACAGTGTTTCTTTCAGGTAACATCTGTTTTGTTTTTTCTCTTTTTGGGCATACCCCATAATTGACTATTGGAGTGACTCAACTGCTGAATGGAGTAACAATACATAATTCTAAAAATTTCAAGTATGGCATACCATTCTTGGTCCCCAGGGTTTTGGCCAGTCTCCTGGTCATGGTTTTCTCCTTCAGCTGTGCCTGTCTCTTCTCAGCCATGGCTTTGATACCACTGTTCTGCTCATTATCCTGTCACATTTAAATAGAAGCACCTTATCAAAAATCTGAGATCATTTGTCTTATTCTATTTATCTATTTTCTTTCTTCCTTTTTTATTTATTTATTTTATACTTATTTTATTTTTCGGGGGGTTAATGCATATTATAATTCTCCATTACTTTAGAAACTTATACCACAAACCCTGACAAGTCCTATAGGATCCTATAAGAAATTGGGTCAATTTCTTATACAATCCTTTAGGATCTTATAAGACTTTTTTCAAAAGGGAAGATAAAATTCAAAGACATCCATCACTTGCACATAGTAGATTATGCTTTTATTCTAAAATGAAAAAAAAAAAGTTTTTCAATATAGGCACCATATAATTAAGATTTCAAATGAAAACCCATCCTTACCAACATACACCTCTTGACGCTGCCAGAAAACTGCTGCAGGTGTTTGAAGCAGACATGGAGGTCAAAGATGCTGGGGTTTTCACACAGGTACTCTGCCAGCTGGGAGCCCAGGATCTTCAGTTCTATCACACTCCTCTGAAGCTGACCAAACTGCTGGCGCACACTCTGGAATGGTTGAAAATTAGAACATCTTTACTGAAAAATATTTATTGCATTTAGTTATTATTTGAAAAGCCATTTTATTGTCTTTTCCTTGTCAGTGATACTAAAGGAATAATTTAGCTTACCCTTAGCAAAATGAAAAATTTGCAGTCATATTGCCACAGATTTGCTGCAAATTTGCAAGAAGGAATTGCAGTAAGCACCAATGTTGCAGCAAATTTGCAGCTGGCCTTATATTTTGCTAAAGGTTCCTCAGGCAGATTTTTCTAATTTTTTCTAGATATTTCTCAATTTCTCAAGACTTCTTACCACAAGGAAGGGTTCAAATCTTTGCTGTAGCAATGGAGATGATGAAGACAGCTGCGGTAAGAGAGAGGTCAGCTCATTGTTCAAGCTGTTAAACTGGGTTCTCACTTCTGCCAGAGGCATGCTGGAATAACAGTGAACAACAAATAGGTAATCGTAAGTCATAATCTACAGCAATGCTCATAGCCTGTAGGAAGCAAAATTAAAAGTAGATTAATCAACTTATGAACAAATAAATAAAAAAAGTGGATTATTCATAAAATACAGTGAGCACATTTAAGATAAAAATGCTCTCTTTAAAACTCAATGAAAATGTGTCACTTGTATACATAATATCAAATATGTGATTTCCCATAAATGTTCATAACATATTTTCAATCAATAACATTCCAATCTACCTAGCTGCTGCTTGAAGAAGTGGCAGTCTGTCCAGCAGTTTGGTCAGTTCTTCCTCGGGGGTTAGTTTGACCACATGGTGGAGCAAGGTATAACATGGTTCACTGGAACGTACGGTGCCCAGTTTAGACAGGCTGGACACCTGGAAACCTTTACACTGACCAAGTGCATTGCCCTTCAACATAACAAATGGAAAAAGAACTATTAACACTAATTCCATGTATTTCTTTAACCAGCAAATGGATTTTTATTAAAGAGTTGATTTAACAAACTTATAATGTTAACAGTCAAATCTATCATACTGAACCCACGATTTTACTTATACCCATAACAAAAATGGGCTACTGTTTAGTTTTAGATTCAATGTTTTCATTAAACTAAATAATTATCAAAGCTACTTGTACAAATAATTACTTTTATACTTTAAAAAATAATTATCCAATAGTATATTTACATGGTTCATGAAGTTCCCAATGTCCAAAATTCTTCTAAGAATGCATCGGAGTCCATCCCCCTGCATCAAAGTTTTACAAGACGTAACCATAGCAACAAGCACATGCTTCAGCTTTTCAAATTTTGATGGGTATTCCGCTATGAAAAGCAGGGAGTGCAGCAAGAGTCGGTAGTCAGGAATGTCAGTGGCTAGATGGACAACGAACTGGTCTGCTTTGGAGAGTTTTTTCCCAGAGGGTAGCTTGCCTGCATACATCTGTAATGTTTTCACCTGAAAGGACATTAGATAATTTAAAAATTTCTAATCTGTATTTAAAATGTTTCAGGATATGCACCTTGCATGAAAAACAATTCAAGACAGGGCACCAATTTCTTTATTATTTGCAGGGTGCCAAGTTCCTATTTTTTCCTATTTTTTGGCATCTTCCTATTTTTTCCTATTTTCTAGAGAAAATTCCTATTTTTTCCTTTTTATTGGTCTAAAAATGATGTTATGTATCAAGTCGTGTTGGTTATTGAAAAAACAAAAAAAAAAAATGAGGATATCTTAGTCAATGTTTTGATTCAGCCAGTTGTTTTAATTGGGATAATGAAAAAATTTAATATGATACTGGATCTTACTTGAAATGAGAATCACCATGTTTCAAGTAAAATCCAGTATACATAAGACCCAATTTTAATGTAGCCGTCACCTGCATCTGACATTGCCATCACAGTGCAATTTCAATGATAATAATAAATATAATAAGTGGGACACCATTGTAGCTTTTGTCTTCGGCCTTGCAGAACTGATGAATATTTATAAAATACAGATTGAGTTCGAAAATCAGCATGATCGGGCCATTTTTAAAAAGTTACGCTGTTTCTCAGCATATATATTGATGACACAATTCAAAGAAAACCCATAAGTCTTGAAACTCACAGGAATGATTAACCTTAGTGAAACGCAGGTCAAGTTAAAAAATTGGCTCGATTGGACCATTTTTACAAATATTATGCTTTTTGGGGTCCTTTTTTCATGTGCATATGCAATGCAGATAACACATAAATTGTAAAAACTGGTTGACCTATTGTCTTCAAACTTTCAGGAGTGATCAATCTGACTAATTCAGCTCAAGTTAGAGAAAAAAGCCTGATCAGACTATTTTCTTTGTTGTCATGCATTTTTTTTTTTTTTTTAGTGTTTACTTTTCACATATTGGCAATTTTAAGAATTCCATGGGCCTGATCTTCTTTGCTGATCACATTTTCCATTTATCTGTGTTACCTGCAGTGCATAATTAAAAATTGGTCATGATTATGGTGGTAAGCACTATGTAATATTGCATCAAAGTTGAAGAAAAATCTTATTTTGGGCACTGATGCCATAATGACCATTAATGGAAAACCATGTTACTTATGAATCTCGAAATTACAAAAAAGATTTATAGGACTGAATTACAGCTTCAGTTAGAAAATGGCCTGATTGCATTTTTTTCTGGCACTAAACTAGTTTTTTAAGCACATATTATAGTATGCAGGTCTATTGTTTTCAAGTTTACAGGAGTAATCCTTGTAACTAAAATACAGGTTGAGTTTGAAAATCAATGTTAAAAAATGATTTTGACAATTGACTTTGTGTGGACTACAGAAGCACAATATATGAAGTGAATTTTAAAATTATTGGACAGAACTGAATTAAGGCACTGTCACAGCGTTAAACACTTGCATATAAGAAAAAATGATTCATACGCTGACAAACATTGGTTATGTTCATGTAATCAGAGGGGGATAAATATTTTGGGCATGTCAAAAAAACAATTCCAGATGCTGCATAAATCTTTTTAATATCCTGGAAATAATGATTACTTACAGTTTTGCATTTAATATTGATCACACTCATACAGCACTTATACATACATGTACGTATTTATGCTAGGTGTGACAGAGCCTTTAGTATTTTATGCTGTTGTTTGTAAATTTGTTAGATAAATTATTGTTGATACACTAAACAGTGTTATTTATTACAATTAAAGAATGTGTATTAGACTGGTAAGGCTTTTGAGGTGTTGTGAAGCCATCATTCTTTTAGAATTATTCCTATTTTTTCTATATTTTTTCGATAAAATTCCTATTTTTTTCCTATTTTTTGAAAATTTTTTTCCTATTTTCCTATTTTCTGAAGGTCCGTTATACATTGACGCCCTAAATTTGATGTCAAATATGCACTGGTTAATTAAGCCTAATAAAGCCATATTTCGGAATAGATTCAACAGTAAGTCAACTTGATAACAGTTAATTTTGTTTGAAAAAGCGAAAAGTTTCAACTTTTCCACATATTATATACCTTACTTGAAATCATAGTCAAATTGAGAGCAGTCAAGCATATATGTCACCTCTTTCATGTACTGAAATTACAACTAAATTGAAATTACGACTAAACGGAAATTATGACTACATTGAAAGCGGCCAATCATTAATTTCACCTCTTCCTCTTCTGGCAAGGCTTGATACAGAAAACGCAGCAGGTCCACTTTGACTCCAGGGCTCTTTCCTTCAGCAAGTTGTGCCACAAAACAATCTGGTTCCATGTCTAACGCGTGTAAGAACAGGTTGATACGAAGACTCTGAGGGGACGATAACAGCGACACCTATAAACAAAAGAAGGAAATACTTCTAGGACTTAACATTTGCACTTAACTCTTAGACCCCATTCCTAGAGATTAAATCGATCCAACTAGATCGACCTAACTCCCTGGGGGTTCACGCTTAATAGCTGTCAGCCGAGCGGGCACGAAAGTTAATTACCCCCTTACAGCTTGTAGTAGGCTGGACGGACATTTAAGCCGAATTCTCTGACAGTAATCTAGTGAGACTCCCCACGGGGATAGATCGATCTAAAACCTATGGGAATGCACCTTTATAAAGAAATTCCCACCTTTAATAATTATGTAGAGGATGTATTACGGACATCTCGCTGTGTACAGATTTCTCTTTCAGAACTTATCATGGAGCAGTTGGGCCCCTGGGCCCATGGTATGTCGGTACGCATTTCACAATCTGTTACTCTCCGCTCTTTTACTCCTTTTCATAAAATTGTTAGGGTGACTCCCGTTAACGCCCAACATAAAGACATAATTATTAAACATAGCAAATAATTTTACTTTTCAAATATATTGAATTTATAAATATTTGTTGTATCATGTGGACATACTGCCTACAGATCTGTTGAGAAACAAAGAAATAACAGAAGGTAACTTGGAATCTCTTTAAGGGTATGCATAATTGGGTGATAAATTGAAAGAAAAAAATTGATATTTCTAGTCAGCCTCTATTGATGGAACTTGCAAAAGGAATAATATGTTTGCTGCCAACAGACCACCCCATCACAAGCAGAAAGCAATTCAATATCAGCACAATACCTCCTGCAATTCTGCATCATCTTTGAAGAGCTCCTCCAGTTCAGCACCATCAGCAAGTGGCACAGAATCACAAACTGGTTTGGTTTGCGTCCACACTGAATTATTATCTGCAAAATAAAAATCCAAAGTGATTAATTAAAAAAAGCATTTTTTTTAACAAAAATGATACCAAAAAAAAAATAGACAGAGCTCTCTCTCTCTGTGTGTGAGAGAGAGAGAGAGAGAGAGAGAGAGAGAGAGAGAGAATTTAACTCACACAAATTGTCTTCAGGTACTTGGACCCAGTTAAGAGTCTTCATAAGCACAGTCGGTGTCTCCCTAATAAAGTCACCACTCTTTACAGTGCCCTCATCTGGCACCATACACTCCAGCTTTTTCTTTGGAGACTCATTTTCTTCTGTCTGAATGGCATTCACTGATTGTCCTTGACCTTTTATCTGACCTTGACCTTCACTGTGCAGCAAATTTTCTTTTTCCACCTCTTGGTTCTGGACCACTTTTATAGTGCAAGGTGTATTGTTATTGATGAAGAGAGCCGTGTGAGATTCTGAGAGTTCTTTTGATGAGATATGGTCAACAGCCTCATGCAGCTCATTCTTGTTACAGAATGTTAGTCTGTGAACAGTTTGTGCCATTGTCTGCCATCTCAGCTGAGCGTTGCTTAAAAAAAATAGAAAACGAAATAAGTCTTTCACTGAAAACAATACAATTGGTTCTTCACGTTTGTAAACGAGCTTTCAAACTGACAATCAAACATTCAGAAAAAAAAAAAACAAATACAAAATTTACAATAAAAAAAATAATAAAGCGAAAAGAGGTGGAATTGTATTCACACACTGTCAGGAATGCATTGCTATTAAATAAAGACATCAATTCACTTTATCTCCCAGTTGATCTACATATCATCAACTGATGAAAGCCAGGAGAGATATCAATAATGGGCAATATTGAAGGATTCTCTCACCTGTCAGACTTTTGAGAAGACAGAAAGAGCAGATCTTGCAACACATGTAGAAGATGGATTCCTTCCTGCTTTCCATGCACCTGTAAGATGAAAACATTTGATATTTTGATCAACTGTAATGCATACAAAAAAGTGACTAACCGTTTTATTGTGATATGACTTACTAGTATATTCATACTTTTTCCATTTTATACATTCAATTCAATATCAATTAAAATGCATATGAAGGTTTATTTTAGAAAACAAAATCCAACCAAAATGAGATCAAGTGTAAACAGCAAACCAGTCAAAATTGTATATATACCTTATTTGCAAGGCAGTCAAAAACATGTCGAACATTTCCCAAGTTAGAGCAGAGATGGTTGGTCTTCTGAAGTTCCAGTTCGTCTTTGTGCTTCTGTCTGTAGAATGCCTGAAAATAAATATTTATAAGCAGGTAAACAACTTCTACTTCTGGGAATGTTTTATTTTTTCAAAATCCTGTAAAAAGTGAAAATATCCCCAGTATTACTTGCATCTTCATGTCAAAGAGCAGGATGTCATCACATTACTTGCTTTGCAAATATAGTGACAACTCTTATACTCATCTCCTGTTTTTTTTTTGTTTTGTTTTGTTTTTTTTTTAATTTGCCCTTTATGCATCATGTATATATATATATATATATATATATATATATATATATATATATATATATATATATATATATATATATATATATATATAATTAGGTTTTGTGGAATTTTGGTTAAGGCAATATGTAAAATTTATGGTGTCACATGTCTCTGCTAAGTGCTTTACATACATCAATTTGAATACACAAGTCTTCATCTAATTCTTCTTTCTTCAAGAAAAACAAAACATCCAACAGCTGTAAACCTGAAAAAAAGAAGTATTTATTTTAACAAAAAACTACATGTAAATACAAGCACTTATAAATAGCCAATCATCCTGTTAAACATTATTACAGATTAAACACATTTAACATTGAGAAGATAGACGTCAAACAAAAAAATACCTGGCCTCAATTCCAAAAATATAAAAATTATAATTATAACAATTGAATGGATAAATCATCAACTAAGTTAAAGTTCTATTCCCTTACCTGCCATTTCATTCCTTAACCTGCACCTTTCTATCAAATCATTTGTGCAGCTCAGCAAGCAGTTGATAAAGGCAACAATTGCTGTGCGGTACGGCCCCGTTTCTGACAGTTTTAACTCTGTCATGATGATACTCAGTCTGTCAGCTTGATGGGCCATCGTCTGATACACGCATGAAAACGTGACAAATTCATTTATATAATTTATCTATCCATACTGGAAATAGTGTATCAATTTTCTTCAACCAACTTGGATTTAGTCCATATCTATCAAACTGAATATAATACTTGAAGCGTGCTTATTTTTAAAAAAAAGATGCTTTCTTCAAAGCTGTTTTGAACAAGAAACTGAAACAAAATGCGTTAACCATGACCACACAATTATGTCTGCCAGATGATAACTAGGGTTCCAATTGAAAAGATAAAGATAATTTTCATTGCATGAATACAAATTGTCACACAATTATGTCAAAAAAAAAAATGAAATTGGGAATTCTTTGAATCATTACATCCTGGCCTTTAAACATAATAAAATACATTCTTTTCTACCAGACAAACCTTGAAGTACTCCAGGCCAGCAAGGACTGCCCTGTGTCCATTCTGAGAGTGGACACATGTCACGGCCAGAATTTCAAACACCTGTTTTCTCACAAGGATGTCACTGCTTCCCAAACCTGTTAAAAAAAGACTACAGCAGTTAAAACCCAGACTGACTATAAAGAGAATGAGAAAAAACTTAATAGATTTCAAAAGAAAGCAGACATTTTTCCTGAATGAACAAAAAAAGGCTTTGTAAATATTAATATTTTGGTTTACTTGAGGAAAAAATCAACAACTGTTACTAAACGATGAATTTCCTCACAGTTTTAAATGCAATGGATATTGTTTCTAATAAGACTACACAAAATATTTTGCCAATCAGACAAGACATTAAAACCCTTCCCAAAACAGATGGAGCTAACTTTGACAAGCCAGCCATGTGATCAATGCCCTGTGAAGAAAAAGAGTGAAAATGTCATGCCTCACAGGTAGAAAAAAATCACGTTTACGGCAGCCTCTTCAGAAATCGTGAGTTCCTTTCAAGTGAAACACTGTCTCTTACTATTTGACAATTTCTTGACTAGTTCTTCTCTGCCAGAGATATACTGCAGTCCGGGCTGAGTGTTCAGTAGTTCTCTTACACAGCACATACAGTCCAGCTCTAACACACTGTCTATGAGACTTGGGGAGTCCTTACAACTCAGCACCTGAAATACAATCATCACAGATAAGGCACATCTAAGGCTGACATGGGCCCAAATTCATCAACACTGGATAGTGCTATCCTCTGGATAACACTATAAAATTAAATTATTAATTTAATAAAATTAATTGAGATAAAGTTGTTATCCNGAAACTGAAACAAAATGCGTTAACCATGACCACACAATTATGTCTGCCAGATGATAACTAGGGTTCCAATTGAAAAGATAAAGATAATTTTCATTGCATGAATACAAATTGTCACACAATTATGTCAAAAAAAAAAAATGAAATTGGGAATTCTTTGAATCATTACATCCTGGCCTTTAAACATAATAAAATACATTCTTTTCTACCAGACAAACCTTGAAGTACTCCAGGCCAGCAAGGACTGCCCTGTGTCCATTCTGAGAGTGGACACATGTCACGGCCAGAATTTCAAACACCTGTTTTCTCACAAGGATGTCACTGCTTCCCAAACCTGTTAAAAAAAGACTACAGCAGTTAAAACCCAGACTGACTATAAAGAGAATGAGAAAAAACTTAATAGATTTCAAAAGAAAGCAGACATTTTTCCTGAATGAACAAAAAAAGGCTTTGTAAATATTAATATTTTGGTTTACTTGAGGAAAAAATCAACAACTGTTACTAAACGATGAATTTCCTCACAGTTTTAAATGCAATGGATATTGTTTCTAATAAGACTACACAAAATATTTTGCCAATCAGACAAGACATTAAAACCCTTCCCAAAACAGATGGAGCTAACTTTGACAAGCCAGCCATGTGATCAATGCCCTGTGAAGAAAAAGAGTGAAAATGTCATGCCTCACAGGTAGAAAAAAATCACGTTTACGGCAGCCTCTTCAGAAATCGTGAGTTCCTTTCAAGTGAAACACTGTCTCTTACTATTTGACAATTTCTTGACTAGTTCTTCTCTGCCAGAGATATACTGCAGTCCGGGCTGAGTGTTCAGTAGTTCTCTTACACAGCACATACAGTCCAGCTCTAACACACTGTCTATGAGACTTGGGGAGTCCTTACAACTCAGCACCTGAAATACAATCATCACAGATAAGGCACATCTAAGGCTGACATGGGCCCAAATTCATCAACACTGGATAGTGCTATCCTCTGGATAACACTATAAAATTAAATTATTAATTTAATAAAATTAATTGAGATAAAGTTGTTATCCTGTGCAATTATCCTGTGGGTAAAGTAATGTTTACTTAACACTGGAGTGGATACTAATTAGTCTCTGACATGGCTTTCCCGTGGTTAAAACTGTCTGCTACCCTCAGGATAACTGTTCAGAGGAAAGAAATTTCATCCAAAGGATAGTGTTTTCCATAGGCAATCATTGGCAATGGTCAAAATTGATATTCTCAGATATTGTAAAGACTAGTTTCTGGCAAAAGAATTCCAAATGCATAAAATTAATATAAAGTGATTCTCATTCTTGTATGTAGTAAAATGTCAGTTTCTTTAAAAAAAATGTTAGAAAAAAATGCAGAATCAACCCAACAAATAAACAAGTGAAGAGAGAAAGCTGTATGTTCTGGGTATTACCTGAAGGGCTTCAAGTAAACTGTCCAAGCCACCCAGTTCAAGGAACTCTTGAAGCCACGTGGGATCAGACTGCTCAATTTTCAGCCTAAGATTCTGATACATTTCTATGGCGGGGTCCAGTGTTTGCCTTGCATCTGAGAGGGGCTTAATATTCCCGTCTTCATGCTGCTTTACTGGCTGCATAGTACCTATTGTTTTGTCTCCTGGCATTGTGCCTTAGTTACATGATTTTCTGAAAAAAACGGCAATAAGTAAATTTATAGTATATCCAGTGTTTAATTTTAAAAAGTGTTTTTAATGTAAATAAAACATCCTTTCTCATACTGTGATACACATGTAGTTCCTAAATCAAGTACTGTAAACTCATAAAAATAAAGGAAAAGGGACTCTAATCTACAACAAAATAACTTCTAAATGATTGCTGTCTAACAGGGGTTTCCCCAGGGTTTGGGGCACAGGAGTCGGAAATGTGAATCTGTAATTTAGTCATCGATTTAGGAGTCCAACTCAAGCAAGCCCAACCAACCAACCCAAAAATTTTACAAGCTATCCAGCCATATTAGGAAATAAAGTCCATCTGTTGAGGTCTATGGCTGTCCATCTCTCTGGGGAAATCCTTGCTGTCTTATCTCTCACAAAATAACTTAAGCCCAAACATCTCTCTTAACTTGAGAAAAACCATTATTGGGGGGAGGGGAGAGAGAGACAGAGAGAGAGAGAGAGAGAGAGAGAGAGAGAGAGAGAGAGAGAGAGAGAGAGAGAGAGAGAGAGAGAGAG